TCGCCATTTCAAATTTCAATCATTTCCATTTCGATTTTGTTGATTTTTTTTCTGTTTTGAGATGATTAAAACAAAAAAAATAGTGAATTTCTTGATCATTCATTAAACGAACCAAAATGTGAAAATGTATTTGTAATCGTGATCGAAAATCTAAAACGCTCCCAACTGAGTTGCTTAACAGCTTAGCCAGACTCAAAATAAGGGTTTTAACAGTTTTTTTCTTGATTCGTTTATATTTAGTTGTTTGTTGTTATTCTGTAATGTCTATTTTATGATTCAAAGAAATTATTAAAGTGAAAATACAAACAAACAACATGGCATTCATACAACAAATAAATTTACTGATTCTATATTGGGTTCTTTGTTGTTTATTTATTCCTTTATTTATACATTGATCAAGCAAGGATGATGACTTACTATATTTGGCCCATAATTGAATTATTATGGCCATTATTATTTTCTATAAATGAGTTTGGATAATCAAAAAAATTGAATAAAAAAAAGATTCCTAATCTGTTTTTTTCTTCTTTAATAATTTATATCATCATATAATATATCACCACAATCAAAAAAAATATGTATTAATTATCAATTACAATTAAAAGCAATCAATCTCAATACTATACCTATAGCTTAATACAATCATATAGATAAAACTGAAATGAAAAAAAAATTAGGTCATCATTCATTTGGCAACGAGAAATGCCATCAAATAATAATAATAATGGTGTGAATACGCCGCTATGATGATGATGAACAAAAAATGAGTCCGTATTTTGGTTTTGTTTTTTTTTGATCATAATAGGGCTGATAGCATAGAAATCCATAGCTGAAAAAACACGTGAAATAATAATAAAAATTGATGATAAAAAAAGAGACAAAAATTATAATGTTTTATCGAAAAAAAATTTCTCTGAAACATCTACTAATGATGATGAACCAGAAATCTGAATGCTAACAACAGCGAGACACAAATAACAAATTATTATTTTGGTATTGATGAACAAAAAACGGCAGGAAAAAAAATGATGGAATGCATGACTTGTGATTATCAACATCTATCATATATATTTAAAATATTTATGTATGTGACTTGACATGATGCAAATGATGTATATGGGTCGATAGGTCGATTTGATTAACATGTTTATCATGGATACTGATGATGATGGTATTACGTGTGTAAATTATATTATATTTTTTTGCATTTGTTTTGTCTTGCTTGATTTTATCATTTTTTTTCGTATGATTATTTTGCAACAAAGAATTTAATGAAACGGATATGAAAATGCTCTTGTTGATTAAATATTTAAATGATAATTTATAATTCTAACTATAAATCAGCAGGTTTTATGAGATCTTTTAAGAAATACCATATAAATTCATTTGTAACGGCATGTCAATTTATGAATGATGGATTTTTATTTTCACATTTCTTGTTGTTCTAATTGAAATACAACAGGTCAATTCTTCCTTTTTGTTTGTTGAAAAATTTAAAAATGAAATTTTTTCCTTCCCCTTTTCTGTCTGATGTAACCGTTATTAATATTACATAGACATTTACATGCATAGGTATCAACATCAATGTCCATCATTGTGTATCCTTTCCCGCCCGTTGTAATATCATCATCATCATCATGCGATCCTATTATCTAGTCGTTTTTTTCGGTGTCTTCTTCCTTTTGTTACTATGTGTTATGCTTTTTCTTCATTCGTTTGTTCTATAAAATTGAATTTATTTTCCACTTGGTTTATTTTGTTTAAAAAATGAACTCGCTTCCTATATTCTCGTTTGTCTTTCGTTTTTTTTCTCTTACTTTTTTTTCCCAGTTCCCATTGTTGAACAAACATCCAACTGGATTGGTTTAGCTGAAACATTTGTTTTGTTGTTGCTTTTGTTTGTGGTTACCATACCATATGACAAATGTAAATTTTTAAATACAATACATATTATTTGAGTTGAATTTTTTTTCAAATGAGAATTGACCCAGAATCCGTATTCAAAGTGAAATGTAAAGCCAAATTTCTTGTTTCATTTGATCATATAATAAAATAACGGTAACAATGATAGCGGTTATGTGGTGAATTTTTATTTTTTTCTAATCTGATTATTCCATTTAATGTAATGAGATAATAGCAAAAAATAACAAAATAAGATGAGTAGTTGAAACTTTTCATCATTTTTTCTTTTAGTTTTTTGAAATAAAAGTTCCTTTTTAACAAAAACCATTTGAACTATGTATGATGTGTGTGTGTGCAACTTTTTTGCCTGTTTTTCCCGATCTCGAATAAAGGTGTAAGATGATGATGATAGTTGTGTAGACAACAAACAATTGAATTGGACCAACAGAAAGTTGTTCGGATTGTTGTAAAAAAAAGGGAAGTTAGCATACTTAGCTGGCCATCATCATCATCATCTTCAGGTCAAGCTTTTGCAGGCGTTTTCTTTATTCCGTATTGATGATGATGATGATGATGACCCGTACTCCGAACAATAAAAAAAAGAAAAATGAAAAAATCAGCCCGAAAAAAAAGAGACAATAGAAATGCGAAGGAAGATGATAATGATGATGGCCATCTTATTATGACAATCGATGGTGTTCTTGTGTATTGAAGTTGAAACTTATAAATTTTACTCTTTTTTTTCAATTTCGTCTTTAGGCTGTTATTCAAATGAAAGTGAAGGTGATTCGGTGATTTTAGTTGAATATTTTATGTATTTTTTACTGTTAACCAGATTGAATGAAAGACAACTTTTTTTTTATCCATTAAGAACATGCTGATGATGATGATGATCATTATTATTATGGTTGTTACTAGATCGGTTTGTGTATCTATGTGTTTTATGTGCGTGCATGAACTCCAACGTAATTGATGTTTGTCTTCTTTTCTGTTATATTTCATATGTAACGCGTAGTAACAATAATAACAGGTGAACCTCGAAAGAGGTCGACAACAACATATCTTGTTGTCCTGGATGGATGGTTGCACCGAGGTATAGGATAGCTTAACGTGCTATCCATGAACAACGAATTCAAAAAAAAGTATACACTTGTTGCTCGAATTGGTCAAGTCAAGCCAAAAAAGCCACATACACGCACACACATGAATGTGAATATACATCGATTTGGATCGATGTACATTTTCACATTCATTCGATCAGGTCATTTCTCTCCTGTTTTATTGTGAAATTCACTTGGCTCCCACACATGTACACATTGAATGAGAGACATTGTGTTTGTTTGGTACAATACATACATCGGAGAGTTGATCACCTGTTCGTTCTCAATTTCCCTTTTAGTTTGTTATAGTCGTTAATTTCAAAGTCCTTCCGCAATGGCCTGAATGATGATTATTATTATGACTTCAACTATACCACGATTATTGTGGTCTTGTTGTTGATGATGATAATGATGATGATGATGGTTGTTGTGGTTAATCTGTCACCGTTATATCGTCTTTTTTATTATATAATAATTCTTTTTTTTTAAATCTTCATCGCCCATCAACGAGAATTTACACTTGTTATCAAATTTTCTTTTCAAATCAAATTTATGTACATGTAATTCAATTGTGCAACAGGTCGTCAACGACCTGAACATATAACTTCGGTGAATATAAATATACAAAAACAAACGAGCTTACAGACAACCATTATCATCATCATCATAATATAATAATAATAATGACTACATACCATGGCACCGATCTAGCAATTGTACACACACACACACAAGCCCATAAAGTAATGAATGATTGAATGAATGCTTATTCGTTCCATTTGGATTGTGTGTACACATTGAAGGATTGATTGAGGATGGGATGAAACATGAATGTTCCATTCAAGGATCTATTCATTACGTAATATAACAAATGCTTTGTCCTGATGATAATCATTCATGTATTTATGTATTTATGTAATGCTTGTGTTTCGAACAGTGTTGATGTTCAGATAGGCTGCCATGACTATAGAATATGATGCATGGTTTGGTGAACTCACTTTTACTATCGGTTGATGGTTGCAAAGTTGCAGCTGAATAGTTGTTCCATTTTTTTCTAATCGTCAAAGTCGTTGTTTCAAATCCTTGCCCAATTTTTCGATTAATTCAAGTATTATTTATGCTAAGGAATTTAATTTTTTTTTGTTATTTGATTGTAAAAACAACTCACATTAATGTGTAAATTTTACATAATAAATACGATTGCATAAGCGATTTCATTCCAAATTACGAATTATCCATATATCTCATTCTTTTTATGTGAATAAAGTATCAAGAATCTGAATTTTCAAACACTTAAATTGTCGTTTATTATGATATATCTTGAGCTTGATAAAACCAAGGGATTTATGTCTTTCCTGACTCCATCATAAATCTAAAAATAAAACATCGTTTTTGTTGATTGAATATGAATAGACATTCAATGATTCGAATGATTTTTTATAGACAAATAAAGTTTTACGTCAACAATTTAGCGTATTCGCGAATTTGTTTCATAATGCGGAAGTCTATATTCGATACGATTTTTAAAAAAATATTAAGGATGGATTCATAGTTGAATGAATGAAAATGTTTTATTTGTCTATTCAGAGTTGTTTTTCTTGATAGACTAAATAACTGTTATTGAAGTCAGAATCATTCTGTTGTTCATAGTTTGCACAACTCTCATGCAACTTGTACATTTCTTTTTCTTTTCTTTCGTTTATAAATAGTAAAATTCTATTACTGAACATGGTAGGGTTTCCTATAGAATATATGCATCTAGTAATGATAATGATAAAAATAATGAAAAGATTTGTTGAATGAAATATGATCACAAAACCTTGAAATTTGTTGTTGTTTTGAATTTTTGTTTTTCATTTTGCATTCCTTCGAATTCATTTCATTTCCATAATTGCCTACTTGTTTTCAGAATTTGAATATCATATTTACTTTGATTTAAATTTTGCTTCCGATAATTTATTAATGATTTTGTTGTTGTTGTTGTATTTTTTCATACAGAAATAAATCTAAATCCGAATGAATTATTTTTCACCGGAAATGGTAATGATTGCCAGAATGGTAATTTAACCGATTTATCAAACAAATCAAATGGCGAACATTGTCTTAAGAATCGACCAACATCATCAGTATCAAACAATGATACGATAACTACATCATCAACGACAAATAATTTCAATGTTTCATCATCATCTAATGATAAATCCAATCATCATGAGATTGCATCATCATCGACAAACAATAATAATTCATTGGCAATGTCCAATGCTGCTGCCGCTGCAGCCGCATTAATAGCCGCAAATTTCCAACAAATTCATCCTCAAAGTATTGCTGCTTCTGCATCACCACCATCAGTGGTGACACCCGTTTCTTCGAATCAAATACCCGGTGTAATTCCCGGCGGTCCTATCAGTAATCTTCGCATTGCATTATCGGCTACCGGATCATCTAATCGAAAATCACCAAATGTATCACCCAGTATGTTGGCCACGATTGCAGCAGCTAATGGTCTCAACATAAATATGGACGCTATTCGACCGCACAAATGTCATTGGCCTGAATGTAAATTTGCAACCAAAGATCGAAAAACATTACGCACACATATGAGAATACATACGAAAGAAAAACCATTCAAATGTTCATTTCCAAATTGTAGTTATGAAACAGGAGATCCTTCCAATTATAGAAAACACAAACGTCGACATATTGCTCATACAATATTTGCTTGCGATTATGAGGGCTGTAATTTTACTACGAACAAACCTGATTTTATGCAAAGTCACATAGCCATACATAAAGGGTAAGAACTGTTTCAAAATTTTGCTATATAATTAATTCTATTTTTTCTTAATTATTATTTATTGGCTCTAATAGATTAAAACCATTCTTATGTGATTTTGAAAATTGTTCCTCATCGTTTTATACACGATCAAAATTGGAAGCACATCGACGTAAACATCTTGCATCAGGAGAATTTCCAATGTCATTAACACATGTTGAAGATAAGGATAAACCGATTGTTTGTACCTATCCAAATTGTGGTAAACGTTTCATCAATGCTGCAGGTTTGGCTGGCCATGAAGTAACTCATTTGGCAACTCATAACAAATATGGCGCTTTCCTTGCTGAACATGAACGTGAAAAACCAGTTGTTTGTAATTTTCCTAATTGCGGTAAACGATTCCTAAATACTGCTGGCTTGGCTGGTCACGAAGTAACACATCGAAATTTTATTAGCCAGAATATGGGAGCCATATTTAAGAATTTAAGCTTTAATCAACTAAAATCATTAGGAATATTTTCAGTTGCCAATATGAAACAACAACAACAACAGCAGCAGCAGCAGCAAAACCAACAGAATGGATCAAATTCGCAACAACAACAATTACAACAACTTCAAGCACAATTATTAATGTCTGCAGTGCAGAAAGGAAATCAATCAATTCAATCGGAATCTCAACAAAAGAAATCGCTTTCAGGTAAACCTGGAGAAGTTATTGTTCTAGATATTTGATCAACTTGAATATACATTGTCACATCAAATGCTAACAGAACAAATACACATTGGTCTCATCATTTTATGGCTTAAAAAATGTGTCGATGTTAATAACATAATCATAATTCATTCATTAAATAAATCGAATTGTGTGTTTTTTTCAACATTCAATTTATTTATACATATAAAAGAACTTGAGAAAAATTTGACAAACAAGGTGATAAATCAAGTGCAATTGTCCTAAATCATCATAGCACAATTCTTGAATTGTATAAATTTCTAGTTCAAACAATCGCACAAACTAAGTGCAATATATAGAATATAAGCGTGTGTTCCTTAAACGAATTTGATTCAATCATTGTTTCATAATCATCATTAACTGATCCGAATTGTTCATCATTTTCATTACAATAATGATTCAGTAGACAAATATTGAATTATATTTATTTTTTAATTCTTCTATATATAAACTAATGCTAAACTAATATAGTCACTCATAATGAATCAACTTATGTTTTTTTTGTTGTAAATATTTTCGAATTATTATCATCATTATTCTTATATAATTCCAAATTATCTTGTATATTATCTCATAAAAACATTATCAACAAACATCTTATCACATTCGATAAAATACAAAAAAAAGATTTATATATTTAAAGAAAAAGAGCTATCTTGTTTTGTTATTGTTTTGTGTGTGTGTTTGGTTTTTTTCTAACGCCTGCATACATTATCACAATATTTACCGTTGTTATATTTTTGTTTCCTTTTAAATTTTTCCTCCCATTTCTTTCTTTTTTTTTGGGGGGGGTCTTTACATTACACTTTCTAATTGTTGTTGATTTTAATCAATTAATTAAATATATACCTGAATCTGTCCACATTTAAGACACACAAAAACACACAGATTTAATTTTAAGTTTGCTATGTTTTTTGCTTTTTATGCCTTATACACAGACATTAACACATTTACAACATAAACGCCTCTTAAATTGCTGTTTCGAAAAAAGGATTTTATTCTTTTTAAATGATTCTTTTGATCAATTTTTGTTTTCACAAACGTTTCTTTATTTATAACATTATCCGATGATCGAATCAGATAAATAGAGTAAATATCTATCATCTTGTACTTATTTCATAGGATTAATCTACAAAGCAAAAAACAAAAAACCAAATTAAACCAGCATCTGCCTGATTGTAAACGTTTTTCTACCATTCGAATAACAAAACACCCTTTTTTCTGATTGCCTTAATTTTGTTGTTGTTGTTGTTGTTTCAAATTTGATTCATTTTTTCTATTGATTCTATTGATCATGTTTTTCTTTTATATATTCACATTTTATTACTAATAACTGGCATTATTATCATTATTATCCATAACACACACACATACACATTTGCATATTTGTTTGTTATTGTTGTTGGAAATGACAGAAAATTTATTATGTATAATCATTTTTTTTGTCCGAAAACTTTCACACCAAACTAATAACTTAATAATATACACAAATCAATTGATATTTGTTATTATGAATGAAGAAATTAAAAAAAAACTTGTTATTATTTGAAATATTATTATTTGCATTCTCTAAGATTGGAAAAAATACAATTTACAGTTTGAAATATTTGGAAAATATTCTGCCCTATCAATGCCATCTGATGTTGCAATCTATTACTTTGACCGATTTTTTTTGTTGAATCATTAGAATTTAAAAATTAAAAGGATATTTTATCATTACAATCTATCGTTTAACATCACCCAGATCTTCAATAAAATCATCTTCGATTTGTGGCCATTTTTCTGGTAATACATCGAATAAATCATCTTTGACATCACCTTGAATGATTATCTCATCGGCAGCGCTAATCGATGAACCACAAGCAAAACGTGAAGAGAAAAATTTTGTTGCATCCTTTAGATCGATTTCGAAATTTCCCAATCCATGTACAACTAATTAATGAACATGAAAAAATTTCAATGTAAGAATAAACTATGATATGCAGAATAAAATATTTATCAAATCATACAGGTCACATATTTCTTTTTGCCACGATTTGATCGAGAGATTTTGACAATTTGTTCCCCGGTTTCCTTTTTTTTCGGTTTTAGCAATGCTTTACCGCCACGTTTCTGTCGAGTCTTTTTGGCTGGATCTTTATCATCATTTGCTAGAGGATGAGACAATTTTATTTATGAATAAAAATTCATTAGCAGAGTAATACCATTTGTATCTAATTTGGCAAACATTTCGGGCATATTTTTCAGAAGCCATTCTTTGCATTTATCATAACCGCTATTATATTCACAATATTCAAGGGGTAATGTACATACTACAATATTGAAAAGAATTGAAAAAATTATAGTTCTTTTGAATTAAATAAATGATCAAACCTCCACAATAATTAACTTTGATAGGGTATTGTACACCTTCTTGTGGCCCATTCTTTAATGTTCTTGGTAATGAATCACCCGTCGATGATGCGGTTGGTAAAACCTGGGTATTTTCTGATATGGTCGACATATTTTCGTATTATTTTTTTCTTGTCAAAAAATTTTTCTTTCTTTTTTTCGATCATTCGGCAATGGAAATTGTCGAATGAAATGCAAAATAAACACATGACAAGTAGTGTTAATAGATAACGTTACAGGAAAAATTTCAAATTTTTACTAAAATTCTGACTTTATCCATACTGTTATAATCAATGTGTGATAATCAATGCTTGATTAAATGATAAGATTCATTTATGCAAAACATATTAGTTGGCGATTTGCTTGCGCATCTTCTTCACATGATGATAGAACCAAGTGATTTATTTTTTTTCAATGCTACAGAATGGCAAAGTTCGTTTCATCACATTTCCTATTTGTATTGGCAATCATATCGACTGTTAATGGATTTGAACCAAAAGCTAACATCGAAGATCAAACAACATTACGTCTTGTGCAATTAATTCATTCACATGGTGATCGAACACCAGGACAATTTGTACATAATGATCCTTATAGTTTAGTGAGACATTTTTGGCCAGAAGGTATCGGTCAACTTACTCGATTAGGTCGGAACCGAATGTACAAAGTCGGAAGATTTTTTCATGGAGTTTACGCAAATTTTCTTAATACTTATCGCTATCAGACAAATGTTGAAAATTTTATTCAGGTTCGAAGTTCGAGTTATCGACGATGTTTGGAAAGTGCATCGGCTCTCTCTGCTGGTTTGATTGGAGGATTATCAAATTTTGAGAGAGAAAATGATAATTTTACTACAGAAGAATTTATTTACGAAAATTTAGAACGTTTTTGGATACCAATACCTATCAAATCATTCTCACCAAAAGGTACTGATCCGTTACTAGATGTTGATTTTCCATGTCCGAATTTAGACAAAATATTTCATGAAATAAAGCATCAAGATCATCGCATCAAACAAGTCGAACAAGAAAATCGTCAATTTCTCAAAGAAATTTCATTTTATGCCGGTGAAAAAATTGACTCGTTAAAATCGATTAATTTTTTGTACCAAGAATTATACATTGAAACACAGGCAAATTATCATTGGTATAAATTTCCTTATCAAATTTGGACGCAAAACTATGAATCGTATGCTATTCAACGATTACGGGAATTATCGCAAATTTATTGGACATTATTCTATGATAATTTTTCCATTCAACGATTGATTGGTGGTGAATTGATTCGAGAAATTAATAATAATTTTCGGAATTTCGTGAACGGATCAAATCGAGAAACGAAATTCTATCTGTATTCCACACACGATGGTAAAATTGTTTCCATTTTACAAGCATTCGGCATCTACAATACATTTCTTATTTCACCCGGTGCAACATTAGTTTTTGAGCTTCATGAAAATCAATCGACTGAAAATACCAATTCGAATGATCTTTATGGAAATTATTTTTTAAAATTTTATTATTTTAATGAAACCTTCTCTGATAATGGTGCTTGTGAAGTTTTTCCTGAAAAATTTTGCCACAATCATCGACAAATTTGTCCATTGAATCATTATATGGAAAAAGTTTTCGAATATGAACCGGCCGATATTCGTTATGAATGTGGTGTGGATATACATCATCTTGGAACAAAAGTTAATCTTAGCCTAATGATTACCAATGGTATTCTATTGGTGATATTTATACTTTTATTGAATATTTTTGCATGCATCAACTATACGATCAAATGAAGATGAAGCGAAAAATGTTTTATTTCAACAAGAACAAAATTACATCGAGAAAGGAATTACATGTGTGTGAAATTAAATTCATTTGTTTGTTAGCGTTTGTTGATGAAAATGTTTTTTACGTTTTTCTAAAAATTCACCAAAATTATAAAATTGCTGCATTGGAATTTTCAATGATCTCCAATGAATGAACGAAACAAACATCTGAAGTTTTTTTTTGTAGGTAGAAAATATTATTCCTAAAGTAGGATTTTCTATGTTAATGCTGATCGATACAAGATTCGAATGTTGATTTGATCAAGATGATGATCTATTGATCTAATAAAGAAAAATGTTCATAGGAATTTTATTTAAAATTTTCATCATTGATTGATTGATAAAACTTTATTTCAATTAATCTTTACATGATTCTCTTCAATCATTTCGTCCAATTCGGTCCGTAAAGCTTCCGGAAGAAATTGTCGTGCACGTTCATAATCACAACGTTTCATCGTTTGTCCATATTCCAATTTTTCCAGATGATAAGCAAGACCCATTCGTTTTAATACTTCAAAGTCATCGTGAATCTCAAATGTGCTACCAAAATTGAATAGATATTCTGACTTATCACGTGATATTGAACAATCGATTAAGGTATTTTTATCCGTATTAACAATGATGAAAGGAAGTTTTATTATAGAATTTGGATCAGGATTCTCATCCATTTGATTACGATCAGCCAGATTTTTGAGTGCAATCTGCTGGATCAATAATTCACGTAATTGATCCTTTTTCTCTTTGATTCGCTGTTGACGTTGAGCACGTTCCTTTTCCAATTCTGAGCATTCCTGAACGGCGTTAGTTGGCAAGCCAATCCATTTGATTTCTTTCTTCTCTTTCGATATGATATTAATGGCCATCAATACGTTAAGGGCATCGTAAACACGACGGCGTATATTCTTCTGATCGAATGGTTCCTGATCATTGCCCGTTTGAAATGATGCACGACTAGCGATTGGATCATCACTGAATTCGGCTACCAATTCATCAGCAACTTCATTATAAGTGGTCGTTCCTTTATTGCGAACTTTTTCGCAGACCTTTTTTTATAGAATAGAAAAAAATTTCAATATAAAAAACATTTTTATCTCTGGAAATTACCTTCATAGAGAAATGACGAAGACCTTTACCCGTTTTTGAATCTTGTTTTTTTCGTTTCATTTGTGATGATGGTGATTTAGGATATTTGATACCGTTCGTTTTATTGGAAAGAATCTGTGTTTTCTTCCCGTTTGGATTGGTAAGCAATGCTGTTGTTGATGATGATAATGGAGATGATTGACTATTTTCGAGACAGACAAAACAAACCGAATTACATTTACAGAAATTTTACATAAATCAATATACAAACCTATTGTTGCTTAGGATGAAAAATTTCTTTTCGTTGTTACTATTATTAGTGTTACTGAGACCATTGATTGATTGGGATGGATACATTTTGTCAGAATTGTTGGACTGTTTCTATTGGATAAATTTTTGGTTTATGATCGTCAGTATTATGTTAAATAACCGTTGGTCAGCCAAGGTTTTTGTCGATAATAGTATGTGTCAATATATACGATAAGGTAAAATATGGAAAAGGGTAAACTGGTTTTAAAATAAACAAAACACCGTTTTCAATTTGGAACTTTAACAACGAGAACACATTTGACGTTCGATAGTATTCAGTAAAAGTTAAACGTTAAAGAGAAATTCGTATCTGTTTTCGGTTCAATGAAAATTTTTCCTCCCCAAGAATGAATTTAAATAATAGAGCCCTTATTAAGGCACCAAGAAAAACCACCTTGTCAGTTTTTTTTCGGAAGTTGTGCGCCTTCAACCATTAACCATCAATTCAATCAACCAACATACATTTCATATACACACAGCTGCTGCTGTTTCCAAAAGCAGTTTGGAGGGAGAGTTTTTTTTACAAACACAAAATCTTTGGCAATACACAAACAGACATGCAGAAAACAAGTCATTGAAAAATTTGACTGTCGTAATACCAACACACAAGGCCAGCCTTGCACTTTTTGTTAACATGTATGTATGTTTCAATATGAGGAGGATGGAAATGGCAATGAGGAGGATGTAAAGGAGGTAACAAAAAATAAATTTCTTTTCATAAACATTGTTATCAACGTTGATAACATTTTAAATGTTTCACGTGTTGGATAAAATATTTTTCCAATTTAGATCCTAATCAATGAATTTTAGCAAATATTTTTTCTACAAAAAAATGAATGAATTTTTTAAAATCAAAAAAAGTATACCTATGGAATAAACGGATAAAAAATTCAGGGTTTGGTTGGTCATACACATGATGACGATGATCACCATCATGAGGATCAAGATGATTGGCATACATTATACAAGCAGATATGTATGGCCTAATAATTTGAACGCAAAGAGATGTGCATGCAGAAGTTAACTTTATTTTAACAATTGTTAAAATAAAATTTGAACGCATGCGTTCAATATACATTTTAGAACAACGGTGTGTGTGTATCTCTCGGATCACTATTTCTCCTCAAATAATTAGGCACATCATTATCATGAAACCACCTCTTTTATCCTCTCCCTCCTCATCCTCATCTTTTTTGCATTCGCGCTCATTTAACCGGGTCTATTTGGCGCGAAATGATGTTTATGGTGTCAACCACCAGTGGTCGACACTTATCAAGTTTTTTTGTGGTGATTCTATCGATAGATAAATGAAAATGACGCAATAAAGCTACATTAATGATGAAATCTGGTATTACTTAATGGTTATATTTATAATTTTATTTAGAAAAAAAACTAAGTTTTTCAAATTTAATTTGCGATAATTGAAAAAACTCAATCTAATCAATTTTAATTATCGGGAGCAAAATAAGCTCCAGTTTCGAATTCACTGAACAATAATTGATCACATATTTCACATTCCCATTGTCCAATAATTAAATGAGTGCCGGTTGAAAAATATTTTGGTACTTTTTCGGTTGCACGTTCCAAACGACTTTCACTGGAATTGAATAATGGATTCAAGTAAAATAATTGAGAAAAAAATGCTCAGTATAAGAATTATACTTACATAGCTCCTGAACATTTATAAAGAGTAATTCCTTCTGGTTTGATAGCCAAAAAGCCATCATATGTCCACTCTTTATTCTTTTTGTATGGCTTGTATCGACCATAGATGACTTGAAAAGCCAAACGGGAATCTTGAGCTGCTTTAGAATAACAAGCAGGAGGTGGTTCAATTAGAAAACTAGAAATTTCTTTGAATTGTGTTACTGGTTTAGCAAATTTATCACTAGCTTTAGGTTCCGATTTGGATGGTAACATTCGATTCACTGGAGCACATCCGATTTGATCCTTTTCCTGTTTGTTCTGATCAAGACGTGGTTTTTTCAAAGGTTGTGTCACATGGTTAGATTCATTGTTTTGCTGTTTAAATTGCAAATGCTTCGAATTGGAACGAATTTTATTTTCAGTGACTTTATTACGATTAATTGAACTTGAAACATCGTTTTGTTTCAATGAATCAAGAACTCGTCGACAATCAGCATCGGTCATTCGATTGATTTTTATGATATCCAAGTGTTCATAGTCTTTGATTAAAAAAACAATACAAATTGAAAATAATAGTAGTAAAAAAATGATATTACCTGGATCGGGATAAACCTGTTCACGAATTCGTATGGCATTAAGTCGGACCATTTTTTCAATTCTAAAATAATTAAATTATTTAAAATTTGTATTAATTTAAATCGACAACAAATCGAACAAGATCACTATTCACACACTATCGCGATATAGAGAACGAATAAAAAATTGACATCACGATAGTTTATTCATTGCACATGTGCATATGTCATCAGGTGGCTTGAAGTATTTTTTTAATTCAATTTGATTATCATCGATTAATATTGAATAACTATTGTACTCAAACATAATATGGCCAATCATAATTTGAAAAACATTTTGAATCCAATAAAAATCAAAGAATTAGTTCGATTTTGGATTAATGAAGATGTACCAAGGTATTTATGATATTAAATGATGAAATTTTCTCATTGAATCATATAGTTTTGATATGCAGGGATTGGTGGTTGGTGATACACCAGTTACAGCGATAATCTATTGTAAACAAACAGGAATATTAGCTGGATTTCCATTTGTTCAAGCAGTTTTCGAAGAACTAGGTGTTGATCCACCAAAGTTCTTATATGAAGAAGGAACTTTTATCAATGAAGCTTCACAGCATAATAAAATTAAGATAGCCTCGGTACATGGACCTGCTCGATTGATTCTTCTTGCCGAACGAACTATATTGAATGTTTTATCTAGATGTTCAGGAATAGCAACCAAATGCTATAACATTGGAGTAAAATTGAGAGAAATGTCCTGGAATGGTCGACTAGCTGCAACACGTAAAACGACGCCCGGTTTTCGGATGGTAGAAAAATATGGAGTATTAGTTGGACAAGCTGATACTCATCGTTATGATCTCAGCACAATGATCATGTTGAAAGATAACCATGTGAAGATATCAGGCCATGCAAATATAGCAACTATTGTATCAGAAGTGAAGAAATGTGCTGGATTTAGTTGTCGCATCGAAGTAGAATGTTCATCATATGACGATGCTCATCAGGCTGCTGAAGCCGGTGCCGACATAATCATGTTAGACCATGTGTCAGCGAATCAAGGAGCCGAAATCAGCCGTAAGTTACGCTCGGAGCATCCATCGATATTGATCGAAGCAAGTGGTAATATTACCGAAACGAATATCCTTGAATATGCAAGACCAGAATATGATATTATATCAATGAGTAGTATAATTCAAGGCTGTCCTCCTGTGGATTTTTCCATGAAAATTATCGAGAGTAATTGATTTTTTATATTACATAATTTTTTATTCAATTTTTTTCTTAAATCGTTTATAGTTACAAAAAATCATTCACAAAAAGAAAGTTCACTGTATAGAATCTCTGTTCAACAACTTCGGAAATTGAATGTATATGTGAGTGTAAATGTACAGATCTTATCTAGAAATGCATAACATTTGAACAGGACAAAAAATTTCCAATGAATTTATTATATTAGTATTCGGTTTTGAAATTGATCTTATTCAATCACCCATATGTAGGTTGTTGTTGTGATTGTTGAGAAGTTGGAACGGAACCTTGTGGCACAGATGATTGCGTTGACGTTGCTGCCGCTCCTGTTGGTGCAGGCATAGTTCCACCGGTAGTTGGAACAATAGTTTGTGGAATATTATTGGGAGGTGGAACCATTGCATTAGGTGGGGGTGCCATAGATTGAGCAGTAACAATCTGATGCGGCATTTCAGTTTGCATATAGACAGTAGGCATATGTGAATCCGGTGGTGCATATAGACCAGGTTGAATAGTCATGCCTAATGCATTTGGATGATGATGATGTGATTGATGAGTTGCTAATAACGGCCGTGGCGGAAATCCCGCCGGATACATGAAATGTGTTAATGCTTGATTATGATGACCGGGTTGAGCCGATGCAGCAAGCTGAGCAGCCATGGCTGCGTTTTGTCCAGCTTGTTGGCTGTGATGAATTTGATTTGGTGCATGGTGATGATGATGCACCTGACCTGGAAATACAACAGGTAAATGCTGTGGTTGAGTGGCACCGGTCATAATTGGCTGTCCGGTTACATTGGCCACCTGTGCCTGTTGCTGTGAAACAAATGCTTCATGATGTTGATGTCGTATAAGTTGCTGCTGTTGGGGTTGCTGATTAGAATTCATATTGCCACCTGGACCATTTTTACCACCACCACGATAATGTCCGCGCGGCTGCGTTTGATTGACATTTTGCGATTGTTGTTGAGGTCCTTGTTGTTGTTGAGGACCGTGTCCATTATTTTGAACTAAAGAATTAGCACCAGCTTGAGTTGCCATCGATTGAGCGGCATTCGCCGAAATCATATGATGAGAAGAACCGGGAGGTGGTTGCTGATTCGATGGCCCACCTGAAGACTGTTGAGAAGCTACTGTGGGAGGAGCCGTTGCCGTCACAGCACCTGCGGGCATGGAAGTTGCGAAATGCTGTATGGCTATATATTGTGGAACCATCTGATGCGGCATCATAGGGTTATACTGAAATTGTATTGGATAACGAATGGATTGTTGTTGATGATGAGCAGCATGACCAGTTAGATGTTGACCAGGTGGACCACCACCGCCAGGATGAGGATGAGTATAAGGGATGAATTGACCTGTACCGGCTGGTCCAGCTAATGAAGGTGTCGATGGAATCGATGGTGGTGTGGTTGCTGGCATATGTCCGGCAACGACAGATTGATAAGGAGCATGAGGTGATGGATAGTTGTGTGGTGGTATAGGTGCCACAACCTGCTGGGGATTTTGTTGCTGTGGTGGAGTTGCCGTAGGCATTTGAACAGCACGAGGAGTAAATATTTTGGCATTGGGATTCAATTTTGATGTAACCACTATTTCATGGGCATCAACTGATGATGGTGTCGATGATGCTGTTGTTGATTGTTGCGGTTGCTGTTGTTGTTGTTGCACGGTAATCGTTGAGGAAGATGATGTTGTGACAGTAGTAGTAGCTGTATTTCCTGTTGACGTGAAACTGACCGAAGCTGTAGTAATAGAATTACTGGTGGTCGCCGGATTATTAAGGATAGTTGATGATAAAGGAGATGTCTGCGTAACTGTCAAATCCGATGGCAACTTTTTTGATTCATTAGAATCTACGCTATCTTTCGAACTGATTATCAAAGATTTTGATGGTTGTTGCGGTTGCTGTTGTTGATTCATGTTAGCACCTTTTTTAACAGCATCGACCATAGTAGGTCGACCATTTTCTCCTGCAGGTAATGAATCAGGCAATTTCCTATTATTGTTATTATTTACAATATCCAGTCCTTGTTTTGGACTCGTAATACGAGCTTGTGACTGATAATTTTGATCATTGGATTTTGATTGATGTATTTCTGCTGCTTTTGAAGCAAAATTGGTAGCTACTGATTGCGATTTCATCAATGATGATTCAGCAGTAGGAGTCGAAATATTTGATGATGGACCGGATGATGGTGATGTAGGAAGCGACGATTTTGTAGATGACATATCCGATGATTCTAATGATTTATTATTCGAAGGCATTTTTGATTCCGAATGTGATTGTTGGGATGAATGATGCTGGTGCGATTGATGATGATGCGGTTGGGGTTGTTGCTGCTCTACAACCCGATTATAAGGCGTACGTTGTTGTTTAAATGATTCACGTTGTGGCAAACTATTCGAGTTATTTCCAGATGATGTTTTACGTTGATATCCAACATTATCCGGATCGTTTGATGATGGTGGTTGACCAGAGCTTCTTGCAAATGTTTTAATAGTTTCCATTTCATTGGTCGTGGCCATTATATCATTAGATATGTTTCGTGCAGAAACTGATGAATAACTAGATTTAATATTATTATTGGCTTGACTAGCCGCACTTGATTGGTACGTTTGCTGTGGCTGCTGCTGTTGGCTGGATGATTGCTGCTGGGAATTTATAGCATTATATTTACGATCTACATATCCAGAATTTGGTTTATTTGGATTCTGTGCTGAACGGTATGGTTGCTGTGATTGCTGCTGATGATAGCGATGATCAGCGCTTACTCGACTATTAGCATCACGCCAATTTGCTTCATTTGGACCGATTGATTGACCACCACCAGAACGATCAACACCACCGCTGCCACCACTACTATTACGATTAGTATTCATGCGATTACGACTTTGTCGAGAAGTTTGTGTTCGAAATCCGCCAAGATTATCTCCAGAATTACTATTGCGAAGATTATTATCACGATTTCTATCAGGCTGATCTCGAGATGGATGATGATTCATATCATTCCTATAATGATGATGATGATTATTATTATTATAATTATTCGATGGAGATGCCATATTGCTTCCCGATTCAGTTATATCGGGATCGCTACGAATCACAGCCGAGTAACGAGATTCTTCATCAAGTTCATCTTCTTTAGAATAACGTGCCACACGTGTAGAATCTTGTTCAATTTCTCGGGCGATCTTTGCAGCTTGTGCTTCTCGTTGTCGATATTCTTCATCATTACGATGTTCTAGTTTAATAGTATATTCTGACATATCATCCTGATATGTCGTTTCTATATTATATTTACTTTCATTCAATTTGAACATATCTTCAGTTTTCCAACCATTTGATACGCCTCCTCCACCTAGTGATAATCCACTGTGATCATCCAATGAAGAATCTAGACCTAATGAATCATGACCATCAATACTGTCATCACCGCCATCCCATGGAACTAATTCCCGGTGTTGTTTAGTACTGCCATCATGTTTTGCAATCTCACTGTCAGTCATTACAGCTTCTGTAAATTATTATATCCGATTTAAAACACATGTTCAACAAATAGTTTTGATATACGTACTTTTAGTCGCAAAATCCAGATCAACATTCAATGCCTTGAATGTGACCAAATTTTTAGGACTGATAACCAATGTTTCGACAACACTTTCTTCACATTCTAACGCTGCCAAAAGATTACCGATATTGTTGTTGTTATTTGCGGTAGGTTGGCAACGTTTTTCCTCCTCAATATTATCAATCAGAGCAGCTGAACACAATGCCAACTGAAACTAAAATTTTCAGAAAAATTCAAATGAGTAAAATTTTTAAAAGCAATTTAAAATGAAACTTACATCGGGAGAGAATGTTTTAAGAATGCCTTCATAACGTTTACCGCTATTCAATTTAACTTCAATCAAACAACCGATCAACGATGTCATTGAATGAACAAATCGTTTATTCTTGTAAACACCGCTGTTACATGGTACTTCGGTGGATACTGGAGCTGTATTTGCCATATTATTATGAGAATGATTATTACTGCCACCTGCTTGTGATACCATCATCGATTGTGATGATTTTGATGGATGAATGTTTCGATGTAATGATGATGATGATGATGATGATAATGACATATCACTACCGCGCATATTTGGGTAATTGGTTCGCATCGAGCGATTCATTGTTCTATATAAAATTTCGAAAACGAATTAAAATTCAATAAATCAAATAATGATAATCTTACCTTTGAACATTGGATGACATTGAAGATGGATTATTTGATGAAATACCAGAAGAACGATTCTTATTACGTTTAGCTGTTGTTTGACCGTTTTGATTCATCTTTATTTCAGTTAAGATTTTTTTAAATATTTAATTAATTGACAAATCAAATAATATGAGTGCAATTTAAGAATTTTTCAATAAAATGCTTTTAAAGTTTGGGAAAAGGGTTTTTCCGTTGTTGCTGTGAATAATGATAAAAGAATGAACCAGATTACAAGATGACCAATTATGATTTTTTTTTCTTTGCTATTGAAGAAAAAAATGAAAAAATGTTTCAAGAGGAAAAAAAAGAGATTAGCAAAAATTAGAAAAAAAATTGAAACAATGTTTAAGCAAGCGTCTGTAATCAAGAAAAAATGTTTGAGCACATGTATGATTTTTGTTTGCTTGCTCATTCATTCATTGATGATGACGAATTATCGTCAACGACATTCACACACACATTTCATTATTCGTGTAAATTGACTATATATGATGGTGATGATGATATAGATTTAATCTCTCTCAAATGCCATGTGTATATTATGAGGTTGAAATGAAATTTTTTATTTTATTTAATCACAATGATGATGACTTACCGCAAACATTAACACACATACACATTAAACAATGAAACGATTTTTGGCGATATGGATGATGATAATTAGATGGATAACGGATGAAATGATTTTGGATTTTTTTTTTTGTTTTTTTTTAATTTTTTTTATGAGAATTTGAATGTTTGATGATTTATGAGTTTTTTGATTAATTATTTTTCTTAATAAAATTGTTTCTGTGTATGCAAAGTATTAATGTATATAAAATAGTTTTCTGAATAAATGATGATGGTTTAATGAGGATAAGCAATTGATGATGATGATTATTTAGAGAAAAAAAAACGATGAAAAGTGGTCAAGAATTTTGTTTTATTCAAAACAGCTGTAAACAAAGCAGAATAAATCAGAAAAAAAAATTCTTGGATAATAATGGTTTCCAAAAAGAAACACACACACACATAAAGACACATGCACAAGCCAAAAAATGAAAAATATATATCAGAATTTTGGATGAACAAAAAAAAATTGAATTTTTTTTTGTTTATAAATTCGAAATGAAAAAGTGGATTGTTTTTTGGAAAAAAAATTAATTTTTTCTATTCAATCAAAATATTGAAAACAGTGTCCACTTTTCTTTAAAAAAAAATTTTATTGTGTGGTTTTCATCGTAATCAAAACATAAACCACACACACACATAAAAAAAGAAGTTCAGATGAATTCGTACATTATGTGAATGTGTGAACGTTTTTGTTTTGTTTTTTTGCCACTTTTTTCACAATTGTTCAGTTCATTTTTACCCTTTCGCTCTCCTATTTCGATTTACAATTTATTTTCAACAACGACGACGACGACAAAGACGATGATGATGATGATGTCGATGTTGATCAAAGCCGACACACAAGTAAGCCAAAAAAAAACATTAAAAATGAGCAGAATTTTGAGAATGCGCATTGAAGTTTGTTGTTCAAAAATTGACAACGATTGAAAATAAAGGGGCTATTTTTTTTAATAACGCCCATTTTTGTTTCTCAATTTTGGTCAAAAGATGTCGTTAATAATGATGATAATGAGCTCTTCATAAAGGACATTTCGTGATTCAGATTCGAAATCGAACGCAAAAAAATTTTAATTTTAATGAAAAATTGTCTTTTTTTTAATTAATGGGGCCATTCACACAAATATGGTGATGATTTGGGTACGGGAAGACACATTTTTATTTGTTCACATCCGGGTGGACTCCAACTCATAGCAGCATGATCACAATAATTTAGTTCAGGTTTACCAGGTACGAGATGCTGTTGATGTTCATCACGAATTTTATTTAAGATTTCCATGGTTTCTTTATATTCAGAATTCTTTGGATTGATATGAAAATGTTCGCCAGGATCTCGATACAAGTGAAATAATAATGGCGATTCGGTATGATTGGTCAATCGTGGAGTAGTCAAATTGAAAACATTTTGTCCGGGGCAAAAATCGATACCAACATCAAGTTCTTCTTGTGGTGTTGAAAATGTCCAATAATGTGCTTTATATGAACCATGTCGAATGGCCATCAAAGTATCACCACGATAATAAAATATGGTCGCATTAGGAATTTCATAACTATTGTTGAACATAATTTTAGTCAAATCATTCGAATCATAATGACGATCATCCGGAATGGATATGTTAGCTATTGTAGCGATCGTACGAAATAGATCCATATGGGTCGATATTTGTCGAGTAATTGTACCGGATGGAATTTTTGAGGGCCACCATGCTATAGCCGGTTCGCGAAATCCACCTTCAAATGTTGTTTGTTTGCCACATAAAAATGGACCACTTCTACCGGCATCAGCTTTAGAAGTTAAAGCTGGTCCATTATCGCTTGTGAAAAATACAAATGTATTATTCTGTAAACATGGCTCATTACGAATAGTTTCCATTATAGCCTGGATTGAATGATCCATTTGAATCAAAGCATCGCCATAAGAGGAATTTTTTATTGATCGACCAACAAATTCAGCTGAGCGATAAGTAGGCGCATGTAATGTATCCGGTGTCCAATAAAGAAAAAATGGATTTCCTTTTTTCGATTCACGTTGCATGAATTCAATTGCTTCTTGTGTGAAATTTTTCAATAGATCTGATTCCTGTTTTTTTCGATCGATCACTACATTTTCATAATAACGGCCAATCATTTTATCATTTCGAAATAATGGTACATTCGGAACTTTTACGTTATCATAAGGACCAAAATGAACACCAAATGTACCGAAAAATTCATGAAAACCTCGATTCCATGGATAATAATCGGATTTACTATGTCCAAGATGCCATTTACCGATGATTTTATTTTGATAGTTTTTTTTGGCAAGTAGTTCCGAAATTAAAATTTCTGATCGAGAAATTCCACCAATCATTTCTTGAGGAATATAAGAATTTCTTGCATGAATATTTGTAGTATAGAATCCGTTTCGTATTGGCAATCTACCGGTAAGTAATGCTGCTCGCGAAGGAGAACATAATGGGCTTCCGGCATAAAAATCAGTAAACTGCATTCCTTCGGAAGCAAGACGATCTAAATAAGGTGTTTCTCGAGAAGGTTCTCCATTCACACCAAGATCACCCCAACCCATATCATCCATCAACATTAACACTATATTCGGTTTGGAATAATTACATTTTTCACCATTTGTTTGTGAAAGAATAATTGAAATTAAAATCGAAAAGAATATTGATTTTTGATCCATTTTGATTATCAATAACAAACCCATCACTCATCAATAGAAAATGAGTATAAATGTTTTGCTCGCAATTGCGCAGTTTGTTTTGAATGATAATCAATTAACTAATTTAAAAAACTTTTGACTATCGAAGATATTTCCTGTCTTAAAAGAAATTAATGGAAAAATTTAAAAAACATTGTCACTATGTTTATGAACAATACATAAAACGTGACCACTTCAAACCATGTGTGTGTGTTGATGAATCCTGAAATTAAATTCCGAATTCTAAACAATAAAAATCGTAATCATGCCTCGACCCGAGCATCAGGCTCCACCGGAAATTGTAATTATTATCATTTGAATCTGCTTGCTGATTATCCATTAATCTTTATTTTTTCCATCGAACAGTTTTATAATGAATCTGAGGCCAAAAAATATACACGAAAGTATGTCAATTAATGAAAAATTCAATATTTTTTTAATTATTTCCTTTCTTTAATTAAGTACTCGAATTATCGAGATTCAAACATCGATGAGTGAAAGAGCAATTGAATTGCTTGCGTTGCCAGATGATGGACAACCCAAATATTTGCTTGATCTTGGTTGTGGATCTGGATTGAGTGGTGAAGTTTTGGAAGAAAACGGTCATTATTGGATTGGTGTAGATATTAGTTCGGCAATGTTGGACGTATGTCGTGAACGTGAATGCGAAACTGGTGATACTATTCAAATGGATCTTGGTCAAGGTGTTCCATTTCGTGCAGGAACTTTTGATGGTGCCATATCAATTTCGGCACTACAATGGCTATGCAATGTCGATAAACGTGGCCAAAAGCCAGGAAAACGTCTTTCAAAATTATTCTCATCGTTATATGCATGTTTATCACGTGGCGCTAAAGCAGTATTTCAATTTTATCCAGAAAATAGTGATCAAGTTGAATTGATAACCAAAACAGCGATGAAGGCCGGTTTTTATGGCGGTTTGGTCATCGATTTTCCAAACAGCAGCAAAGCAAAAAAAGTCTTTCTCGTATTATTTACTGGTGGTGCTCCGCAAACCATGCCAAAAGCATTGGGCACTGGTGATGATGAAGATGTGGATCGTCATGTCCCAAGTACGATCGATTATGATTCTAAACGAGAAAGAATTCGTAATGCAAGAAATGCTAAAGTACCCATCAAATCACGACAATGGATTATGGATAAAAAAGAACGATATCGAAGACAAGGAAAAGATGTTCGTGATAATAGTAAATATACAGGTCGAAGGAGATCTGGGCGTTTTTGATTTATTCATAATAATAAAAAAATTTATTTACAAAAATCAATTTTCGAGAAATGATACTAATTCTGTTAGTTTGATCATTAATTCATCTAATGTTGAATTAGATGAATCGTCCATAGTGTTTGGCATCTTTTTCGGCGTAACAAATCTAGTCTCGCAATCATATTGCCAACCAAGTGCATGAATTTTTTCGATTGTTTGCGTTTCATCATATCCAAGAAACGATGAAACATCATCAAGGCGAATATAACTATAGGCTTTGCCAATTAGATTCAACATACGATTACGAGTTGCTTCTGTTGGGTTAAATTTTAATTCAGATATGTAGTTAATACATTAAATTAGATAAAAACCTTTGATGCAATTCATAATGTTTTTCAAATGGAGTGGCCATTCAACTGAGTCAACTAAAGAATAAATATCGGATAATTCACGTTTAAATAATTTAACACCAACATTCCAAACGGCCTGTATCTCAGGATTACTTTGTTTGATTTCATTTGGTATACGCTTCCATAAAAGTTTAGCATTAGGTCTGAAATTAAAAATATCAATAGATTATTTGATTATTAATAAAAAAAGGTTCAGCTTACAAATCATTGATGAGCAAATAGATGGCCAATAATTGTCCATAGATCTGTGGAGAAGCAGGACCATTCATGGCCGCATTTAATTCTTGACGTTCAAGATTAGAAACCAAACTTTTATAATTGGAAATCATGTCCATTGCATTGATTTTGTTTGAATTTATCAAAATTCTTTTGAATTGTTTTTCATCAAATGAAACAATGAACGTGCTGATGATTTTGTCAACAAACACCTTAACGAGCTACTGCATGTTGATATAGTCGTTTTGAATTTTTTTTCTCTCATTCGCATTCCTCGCAAAAAAATTCTCTATTCCATCTGCATTTGAAATATGATACTTATCACAGATTGTCATCCTCATGTTTAGTATTCGTCAAATAATTGGATCTAATTATATCTTTGTTATTATTCCGGCAACAGCAACAGAAAAAAATTAGTAATTTCATTTTCATATTCAACAAAAGTCCATATTTCCGAAATGTCATTTGTATCTCGAAAAAAACATGGAATATAAAATCGTAAGCATAAATTATAATGGATGACAATGATGATGATGATGATCAATAACTGGTATGCATAGCTTGTAGGCATAGATTTCCGTTTGTAAAAAAATGTTTTCAACGTCGACATTTTCTATCTTCTCCATTCATCAATTTGATTTGGATATGAACAAAAAAAAAATATTGCTTATATTTAAAGATATATTGCAGAGAGGCCAGCTACGAATCCAAACCGAAAAAATTGATTATTTCATGCAGACAGATGGCGGATATTAGCTTATTGAATCTAATTATCATTTTGAATTATTTACTGAATTCATCATCGTATGGATAATCTCCCTCTTTCGGTTCACAATGTATTTCATTTGCATTCATTTACTAACTCTCTATGTAGCCGAATTTGTAAAAGAAAGAGAACATCCAAATAAATACTGACAGACAAAGAAACAACAACAACAATAAAAATTTCCAATGACTTAATTGAATTCAATAGATTTTGATTAAATCTAAATGAATGTCCAAATTGTTATAAATTGCCATTTCCACAATTAATGTTTTTGTGCGTGTGTGTTCTATTTTGGAAATTATTTCGAACAAAGGGAAACAAATTCAAAATGGAATTGGTAACGAGCAAAAGAAAAAGGATGTTCTTGTCAATGTCTATTGTCGGAGGTCAATCATTTGGATCCATCCAATACATTCTCATTCAAAAATGATCATTACTCTTGTTATAACCAAATTACAATTGTCATTTGAAAATGAAAAGAGAAAAAAAAGTGAAAAAAATGAACTTTGAACGTATTTGAATTGGGAAAAACATGGGACATTTATTTAAAAATTATTCATTTTTCCTTTTTTTCTTTTTTGAAGATTTGAAAATAATTAATGAATTTTAAATTGATTGTCAAAATTGATCAACCAAAATACCATATGTATGTATCGGATATTGTATGACATGAAATGTGGTCGAAAATCGTTTGATATTTGAGCCAAAAAGTCAAAAATAAATTACAAAAGAGCTACAGCGAATTGATTGAGTGAGATTTTCTTTTTCATCAAAAAAATAAAAACAAATAGTAATAATAATAATCTGATCATTAACACAAAGGTATCAACAATTTAAAAGAGATGCCAATGAGTTAACAATTTTTATTTTTCTAAAGTTAACAACAGCAAAAAAAACGACAATCAAATGTGTGTATTCGTGCGTGAGTGTAATAAGTATTATTGAGTAGTATCGAATATCTTTTATCTCATTTAAATATATTTCTTCAATATATCCATTCTTCGTTGGTCATGGGTATCAATCGAATCGAAATTGAAGAGGAATTTTTATTTTTCTGCTGATTGAAAATCGTGAACAACCAATAAGTGTTATAATGATTTTATCGATCAATCAGAACCGAAGGAAAGAAAATGAAGAGTTCATCACAATTCGTTATTTGATTGTTTGTCGAGGGTAACCGAAGAAAATCACTATATGATAACAAAAAAAAGAAAAGAAAAAAGAAACGAATTGAAAATGAAATCAAACGTAACGAAAAACATTCATTATCATGATCATAATGAAAGAAAAAAATAATAATGAAACAAGGAAGAGAAATTGTTGCCAAATCATAAACTATGGTTCAACGAAAAAGAATGAAAAAAAAATCGTTGAAATAATTTTTTTGAATTTTGCACGCACACCCATCCACCCATACATGCAATCTGAAGGTTTGGTTATGCAAATCATGATATCAAACAACAACAACAATGACGACATTAATAATTACGATATTGGGATTTTAGTTTTGTCATTGTCTATTTAGCTACAATTGGAATATTGAGAAATTCTGTTGTAGGTGGAAGAAAAAAAAAGTTTTTTTTTTGCCAAATGTAAATGTAATTTTTTCGTGAAACTCTCAACGATTATCATATCGATTCTAAAAAATGAAAACTACGGATAATTTACAATCAAAACTTGAAAAAGAAAAAGATTTATTCAAATTGATGATGAGAAACTGACCTGGTCATTGATTGATAAATAGGAAAACAAAAAGTTTTCCATTCTCATTTGACTTGTGTAGCGTAGAATGAAAAATTAGTTATCAAAAAAAAAAAAATTAAATTTGCGTGCCATTATAACATTATCTTCAATCGAAATTCTTTGTTTGTGAGTAATGTGTGTGTGTATTTTTTTACGTGCCACACCGAACATTTATAATTTGTATAAATGTTGCCTTAATTGGCCTCACTGATGATGATGATGATGGTGGTGGCAATGATGATTATTTTATTTCATTTTATTTTTTTCAATGGCCAAATCGAAATATTTCGTTTTTTTGGCTTATTCTTCATCCTTTTTGGATACAAATATAATATTCGAAATTGACATTCGAAATAAGAAAGATGGAGAAAATAAAGAAAAACCGAGAATGGAAAATAATCATCACGCACTAAATTGAACCATATATACCCAATACCGAATGTTGATGATGGTGATCATAAAATTATCATCCACGGGGAATATATTATTATTATTATTATGGGAATGATTTTCTTTCTCATCATCCGAATATAGAGAGTTATAGAATGAGAATGTGGTATGAGTTGATGATTGGATGATTCTCTTATTATTTGATCACACACAAACACAAGCTTACATTACGGAATAAAACAATGAAAATCCTCATTGATGTATGGATCGTTATAACTATGATGATGATGATGATGATATGACAAACAAATGAAAACAAACAATAAGGGTGTTTTTTTCCTTCTGAATCATTAAAAATATAAAAGACTAAAACAGACACACCAATGACCAATCGAATTTTGATAAATTTCAATTCTTTCCTTATTATTATTATGGAGTGTGAGAGAAAGAGAGAAAAAAACGTATTTTTTGACATTATCCAATTATAATGACACCACCACCCTTATGATGATAATAAAACTGAATCCATACTCGAAATGGATTCAGATTTTGGTTGCTGTTGTCGTTGTTTCGGTTGAATAATTCTTGTACACTCACATAGAAACAGGATATAATACTTAAATTAGATGCAAATTAGTGTTGTGGCCACCATTAATATTAGTCAATGGTCAATGAAAAGATTTTGATCATTCGATGTAAGACATTCACAAAATATGATAATTGTTAATTATTACTTCGTTAAAATGTATCGTGTGCTAATAATGATGATCATTAGCTTTTAAAGACCCTTTCACATCAAAATCTTTTCTTTTTATTTCATTATCATTTTGGTTTTATTGACATTCCGTTTATAAATAGAGTTGTTTTGGATTTTTTTTATTGTTTGAAAGGAAAAATTTATGTTTTTTTTAGTTATAGATCAAGTTGATGAAATTTGACCAAAAGGTAAGCAACCAGCAAGCAAACTAGATTAACATTTTGTAGTAATCTATAAAGATAAAAACAAAGAAGATTAAACAATATCAAAGATGATCAATATATAGAGTGTGAAAAAACCAAAGATTATGGATAAGAATAGAAATTCTTAATGCTGTGATCACGATCGATTTATTCCCAGTTGATATCAGGATGGTGAATTTTTTTAAAAATCGAATGTAATTTTATCTTCAAAGCGGAAAAATTAAACTTTTTTTTGATAAATATTCGAATGAAAATGTTTGTAATTCATAAATAATGAACGTAAACATTAAAAAATCAACGACAAAATGAATGATCGATTCTCATCGATTTAGGTTTTTTTTTGTTTTATTCTCAAGAAATCAAATCAAAAGAAAACATATAAAATGTATCAAAATCATTCACACACACAAACTTTCCAAAGTCAAAGTTCAAATTGAAGAATATAGATAGTATACGAAGAGAAACAAAAAATTTGTAGCAAGATCAATCAAAATTTTTTTAAAAGAAAATCATTCCAGTTTGTTTCCAGTCGATTTAAACATTTACGCTTTACTTTTTTTTCATTTGTCTTTCCTCTTTTTTTTCCTGGTCTTACCATACCGACAAAATTCTCATAGGAATATTTCTGCTATAGAACCAAAAAAAAAATTCACATGAATTAAATTTATTTATGAATGAAATGAATTTAGTTTTTTAGTTATAAAGAATTTTTATAGAAAAAACAAATGATTTTTATTATTTATTTTATCATCATTAATTTTTCATCATCATCATCATATGTTATACAATAATTATCAATTAAAAATCGATCAGATACAAAAAAAAATGTAATTAAATTCGTGTGTATGTGGGTGGGTGGTTGGATGTGTATGATTAGCAAAAAAGAAATAACTGATGTTGATGATAATGATGAGCTTGAGTTTAATATTTATAAAACAAACAATTTTTTTTAGTTATTTTTTTCCAACAGAAAAAAAGAAGTAATTAATATGAAAAATGTTGATGATGATGACAAGTATAAATTTTCACAGAATCAAAATGTAAATGGATCATTCATATGTGTGTTAGCGGATGTTTGTCTGTGTGTGTGTGTGTGTTTCGAATGCAAATATACCGGCCAAAGAATATAAAGTTAATATTTGAGTTTTTTTATTTAGAAAAAAAAGTTTCATTGATTTTTGTCTGTTTTTTCCAGCAATAACATTGAAACATTTTTGGTTACTTTTTCAAAAAATTTCCATATTGTGTGGTAATGTTTTATTGTTAAATTTTTTTTTTGAAATTTATTTATGAATAATCAAAGAAAAAATAAAATAAAAATTGGGCAACAAACAACAATTTTTTTTGCAATTCAGAATAAACAAAAATGAAGAAAAAAAAATATATGCGAGAAAAAAAAAGAAAACATAAAAAACAGAATCATTATATTTATAATATCTACCCGAAAATAGGAACAACAACAAAAAGAAAAGACTTTCAACAAAAATTTTCGTTTTTTTTCATTCAGGAAAACAAAAAAAAAAAAATAAACAATTTTCATTATTTTTTTTGTCGTTTCTCTTTTTCTTTTTATACATCTCATTGATTTCATAAAATGAAAACAATTTCCCTGTTTATTTTTTTGGTTTTCATTTGAATTCAAAGAATTTTCTCAAACAAAAACTAAAAACAAGCAAGCTAAAGAAAATGAGAGAAACAAACAAAAAAAACAGAAAAAATATAAATTCAAAACCAAGGAAAACTCAAAAATTCATTCAATATTCAATCAGAAAAATTTTCTACCCAAAAATTACCGTGATGGAAGCCAATAAATTGATGTTTTGAAGTTTGGTTCTGTGTGTTCAACAATTGTTACATAATATTTAAAAATAATGAAAAAAAACTGAATAACTAGCAAACAGGATAATTTATGTTACAAATTATTATGTGTTAATGTTTTTTGTTTCGCTTTTCGATTGATTCACGATATCTGATAAAATGATTCAATTCGATGGCTAACTTTGTGTGTGCCTGTGCATGTTTGTGTATTTAATTCAAATGCAAAAAAAAACTTGTCGGTCATTAATATATTTGGCATCAATATTTTTCTGCGAAATTTATAATGATGAAAGCTAAATGAATATAAATGAAGATTAATGAATGAATGAAATTGAATTTTGGTTAGCCATTCCATGGATATTTGCTGATGATGTTAATGTTGATGATGATGAAAAAATTTTCAAATTTAAGTATCATATCGTGTGTGTGTGTGTGTGTTATAGAAGAAATATTTTGTGAAGGTTGAAATGAATCAAATTACAATGTATCCACAATCAAGTAAATGTATAGAATTAGAAAAAAACCATGTCCAATATAATGATAATGTAATAATAATATAAAATATATAAGCAAACAAATATTCGAAGAGATCGATTCTTTCTTGTTTTTTCTCTTTTCATTCTTGTATTACAACCAATCAAATGTGTAAAAATTGATCGAAAAGAAAAACGAATTATGTTTAATATACAAATATAATTTTTCAAAGGCGCCAATTGTTTTGTTTTGTTTTTGGTATGATGATAATTGTACAAAAAAAATGAAAAACAAAAGAAAAGATGATAATGATAATTTGAATTTGGTCGGCAGCGGGAAAAAAGATGAAATTATTGATCATTTATAATCAATACAGATGAACATTTTTTTTGATGATAAGGTGGGTATTATAATATTTGATTTTATTACAAATTAATTTGAAACAATTGTGGCTCTTGTTTGAATGCCATTATTGGAGTTGGATAAAATTGCATTTGTTGTTGTTGCAGCATTATTATTAGAATTTATTGTTGTTGTTTGATGTCGTTTCATATGCAAGGCTAGATGATCGGAACGAGAAAAACATCGTTCACAATGTTTACATTTAAATGGTTTACTTCCGGTATGTTTACGAAAATGTCTGGTCAATTCATCTGAACGAGCAAATCGCCATTCACAACCTTGCCATGTACATTGATATGGCTTTTCACCTGGTTTTTTCCAAAGAAAAAATTCGAAAAAAAAAATTAATAATCATAATAGCGAAATAATGAATAAATAAACAAAAAAATCAATCAATCAATCAATCGATGATCAAAATGTATTCATCATCATCATCATACCTGTATGTGTTCGTTGATGTGCTTTCAGATGTGATGATTTTGTGTAGACTTTTTTACAGCCATTAAATAGGCACTTATGAATACGACGTTTACCATCGGCTGAAATTATCGTACTCGATATTGTATTCGCACCTGTCACCGTTGTTGTCGTTGATGATGATGATGATGATGCTGATGTTGTTGTTGTTATTGTATTTGATAACGAATCCGTGAAATTATTCAATGTTACCGGACATGAATTGGTCGTTGTTTGTGGACCTATAATAGCGACATCACCATTGATCACAATACGATTCGGTGATGATGATAATGATGAAGGTGGTGATGGTGACGAAGACAATGATGATGAACATGAAAATGATGAAGATGATGAGGATGATGAAGATGAGGAAACCGAATTTGATTTATTACGAGAACGATTCGCCGCTGTTTGACTATTCGCTGATCGTGTTGGTGATGTTGATTTTTTAGTTGGTTTCGATATTTGCATAGATGATGATAATGTTGAATTGGGCTGCTGGTGCTGTTGTTGTTGTTGTTGCTGAAGAGGATGATGATTGATCAACATCGTTGTAGGGGCAGTATCAATAATGGAAGAATTTAATTGTATTGCAATCGTAGCCGATTGTGGCATCAATGCATTATTATTCATAGCTATTGTATTGATAGCATTTCCGCTATTATTCGGTAAAATATTGACCGAAGTGGTCGATATAGGTACTAATACGGGATTCGATATCGAATTCGAGTGCGTAAGGAAGCCATTCATATTGGATGACATACTATTCGGTATCGTCGTAGTTGCCGTTGTGTTGGCCAATATTTTTTGTTGTTGATGTTGACGATTAATGAGATCAGATGAAAGTGTCCGTTTTCTTTGTTGATATTGACGTTCAGGTGATGTTGGTGGCGTCAATGAACTAAATAAAGCGGAACCATTTGGTATTATCGTGGGTGTTACACCACATTTTTGTTGATGAACATTTGTCAACATTGTCGATTGTCCATTACGAATCGGTGAAGACATGGACAGTAATTCATCGAGACTAGGTGAACGTAATTTTGTTTGATGACCGAGGGTAATATTGTTTGCGGGTGATTGTTGTGGCTGTGTATTTAAACCAACCAAACGAACAGCTGTAGTTGTTGCTGTGGCATCATTCATCATAATCGATGAAGTAGTTGCTATCGTTGTTCCATTAGGGGTAACTTTTGCAATAATATTCGTTTGATGGCAGCCATCCGATTTTATTTCATTATTTCCATTATTATAAATGACCGGATGAATATTCGTCAAATGTTGTCCTAAAACATTCAATGATGGCTGCATATCCGAAGATTTTGTTGACGTTTGACTACATTTGATTGCAAACATTTCTGTATGATGACCAGATAAAGATTGCGAAGGTTTAGAACACATATTATTATTATTAATATCATCATCATTCGAAGTGGTTTGTTGTTTGACTGTTTGTTTAATAAATTGATTATCATAAATGATTCCACCGGATTGTTCATTGGTCGTTTCATCCATTGGCCAATCACCATTCGATGATGATGATGACGATAATGATGATGATGATGAAGGCGTCATATAGGAAGCCGAAGACGATGAAGATGAATGATGATTTAAATGATACGGAACAACATTTCCGTTATTGGCCGGTATTATTGAAAATAGCTCTTTCACCTTTGATTCAATGACATTGAAATGTATTGATTGTTGTTGTTGTTGTTGGTTTGTATTGATCATTGCAGGCGGTGTTGGTGAGGATGATAATGATGATGATGAACAACCAAATGAACCAGATGAATTGGATGATTTTTCATCATCAATATCTAAAGATTTATTGCTTTCAGCATCGGATGTAACTAATGTAGATGAACTAATCATCATTGTTGGTTTTACATGAAAATTCTGATTCTGTTTTTTATTATCATTGGCAATAATTAAAGGTGATTGAGCCATAATAGAATCTAGATTTGAAATGGCAATCATTGTATCACTATTTATCATCGATGGTGATGGTGATGATGATGTTGATGATGTATTACTTAGGACATTATCCCAAAGTGATGTTGGCACAATAATATTGCCATAATCATTCAATGATGATGATGATGAATGATAATTTGATGATAATGATCCATTTTTAACATTTCTTATGTTGGTACCATTGATTGTTTTGTTGTTGTCATTGTTATTGTTATTAGTGGTAGTTACCGTCGTCGCCTGTGATAACAATGATTTTGGTTCATCCTTTAGATATCGTTCCAATTCAAGCATAGTCTATTATATAAATGATAAAAAAAAAGTTCATTAGTTTAGTTTTGTTTTTTTTGGTTATATTTTTTTCATCATATCAGTAATTATAATCATTTGGCATTGTCATTATCATCGTTAACAACAAAAAAACATCAACACCAAAGTGATTATCTTCAATTTCATCGTATTTAGGTGAAGTTAGCTAAAACTTTTTACTACTATTTTTACAATGGTCATTGAATTTGTTTCAGTGTCTATATCAACCCCAATTGGTTGCTGATTCTATTCTCATTTAATTCTATTGTTGTTGTTATTATTATGATGAAGATTATTATCATGAATGAATAATATGTTTAACATTTAGCCAAAACGTTAATTCATTTTGATCATCATCATCATTATTATCGTTGACAAGAATGACGATTATAAACATAATCATCATTATCATTATGTAAAATTATTATCATCATGGACACGTAATAATATAGAGCAGTGATTCTCAACCTTTTTGTTGTCGCGGCACAATTTTAGAATTTTTGAATATATAACAGTTGCATTTTCAGAATTTCGCGGCACACTAAAGTGCCGCGGCACACTGGTTGAGAATCACTGATATAGAGAAAAAGAATGTGAAGTCATTCAGAATAAAGTNTCATGAATGAATAATATGTTTAACATTTAGCCAAAATGTTAATTCATTTTGATCATCATCATCATTATTATCGTTGACAAGAATGACGATTATAAACATAATCATCATTATCATTATGTAAAATTATTGTCATCATGGACACGTAATAATATAGAGAAAAAGAATGTGAAGTCATTCAGAATAAAGTCAATGACAACAACAACAACAACAAAACAAAGACAAAAAATTCAAGAATGACATGAACAATAACAAAATATCCAAAAAAAAGGGGCAGTGTAGATATTGTGGAATAAAAAACTTTTTTTCGGATTTTATTTTTTTCAATCTTATACGATTTGGTCCATATGTATGTGTAACTACATTTCTTCTGACTGGTCTTGCCTCGTCACACCATTGCAATTCACAAAACAAAACAAAACAAAAAAAACGCTGAACGAAGTCAACGAACCGAAAAAATAACAATCAACATTTGTTTGATTGATATTATATAATAAATATGTACACGGATATGTTAAAATAGTGATGATGATTAGATAGGAATGTTTTGATTTCTTTTTTGCTTGCTTTTTATCCATATGAATTATATTAAGAATTGCGAACAGAATCAATATTTTTTCTAAATTTTAAAATTAATTCTAGTGAACAATATGTGATTTTTTTCGCTGTGCTTTGTCAATCTTGATTGAAATTGATCATGTTTTAAAAGACATTGAAAAAAAACGAAAGAAAAATATCCTGCTATCAACATGTGGCCATCATCATTATAGCGAAAGATCGATAAATCTTGAATGTCAACAATGTTCATATCTCGATTGATTGATTTTATCATTATCATTATTGAGACATTCACATTTTGTCATTATCTTCATCATCATCATCGGGCCATATCCTTTCTCATCAACGATTGAATCGATCTATCGATCGATCGACAATAAAAAATTTTCGACAATAATTTTAACGATTGTCATCAATAATTTTAGTTATTTCCGTTTTTTTCATTTTTTCCTCCCATTTCATTCTTGCTATATATTCAAAAAATGAAATTTACAAAGTTTATCTGAACAAATATCCGATTAGAAAATATAATAAAAAACTAGTGGAAACGGAACCAAATACAATTGACAATCCATTCGGATGGAATCTCAATAGAATCAATCTATCGATCGATTTATATCCTTTTCGATTAGCCGATTCAATATACAGATGATTTGTAATGAAAGTGATAAAAAAAGTGAAATTATATAAGTGTAAAGAATTTTCATAGGAAAAAAATGACAAGAAAAAAAGTTGCATCAAAATTTTTCAGCAATTTTTTTCCCTTGTCACGAAAGATAGAGAATCATTGAGACTGCGGCGAATTGAATTTCAATTCGAATTATTATGGAAACGCTTCTTTTTCATCGTCTTCTCGTGTTCTGGCTTCTAGCTTTTCATTTCATTTAAGTTATGGCCATGAACCCTAACTTGGCAGGTCATTTCATGGCTTTCTATGTTTTTTCTTCACATCTCTATCATTTGGCTGTTCATTCTTTGTGTATGCACTATTTCGTTTATTTTTTTGATGATATGGCTGGATATTGACGGAAAAAAATTTCTCGTTGTTCGCTTGCCTAGTGCGTTGCAAGCAGCCGAAAAACAACAAAGAATTAAATGAAGTAGAGAGAGAAAAAAAATCGAAAATTCAGAAAATAAAACAGACTATAGTTAGTTATTGTGTGTGTGTGGCTGCTGATGAAAATGACTGCCCGCCTGACTGACTGAATGATGATGTCGATGATCGAGTGAGAATAAAAATATAAAATATATTCTCGGTGTTTTTGATGAGGAAAAGAGAAATGATTGTTTCGGAATCAAGAACCCGAAAAGAAATAAAGAAAACAACAAAAAAGAAAAAGAAAAGAATACCAAGAAATGATAACATTGAATGAAATCATCGGCCAACCGAATACAGAAGAAGAAAAAAAATGATCAAATTCAGAATGTCTAAAGATTCAGATTCAATGATGATCAAATATCGTTTTTTTTACTTTCTTTCATTCATTCAATGAACCAAAACAATCAGCAGAAAACAAAAATTGGAACGAAACGGAACCGATCGAATGAATGAATGAATGAAAGCAACAGAAAACAACAACAACAAAATGATTCGAAAGTTTATTTATATATTTCTATATATTTCATATATGGTAATGAAATAAACAATCCGAGAAAGAGAATCCGATTCGAATAAATAAAAAAGAAGAAAAAAGAATCGAATGTTTTATAACAGAATCATCAGAAGGAAAAACTGTGAAATCCTAAATCACAAAAACTGAATGAATGAAAAAAATAAACATACACACATCAACTAAAAAAAGAAAAAGAAAAATCTCTGGAGAACCAGTTTTTTTTTCATTTATAAATTTTATTCTTATATAAAAAAAAGAAAGAAATTGCCTAACATAAAAAACAACAACAACAACGAAGAAACATGGACATAAACATATTTTAACATCACTCGAGCGAGAGAGAGAAAAAAAAATTCGTTGAACTTTGCCAGTTTAATTCGTATAAAGAAAAAAAATTTATAACCTTTAACCTTTGCATGAAAAAATGATGATGATTATTATTATAAAATTCAACCAGCATTATGATGATGATGATGAAAAATGTATTTATATCAATGTGTGGGCAACATAGCCTAACCAAGGAATTCATTTAATTCACAAATACATCCTCATTGACCTGAACTGAACTCATAAGAATAAGAAAATCCGAGCATCGTTTTCAAGTAAAGATAATCCGTAGTAAGATAATATTGTATTTATTAATTCATTCATTGGATTCATTATGATCAAATTGTTGAATTAACATCGAAAAAAGGCAAAAGGCATCTTCGATTCTTTGTCCAATTTGTAGAATCAAATTCAAACAATGACTTTTGAATGATAAACAACAACAACAACAGAAAATATTTACCCTATACTTTCCCCAATCTTATTGTGGTGGAAAAAATTTCAATAAAGATGAAATGAAAATTTTTCTAACCTTCAAATTGATGTGTTTGTATGTAAATGGTAATCAACATCTAACAATGAAGAAAGAATAAAGATGAATAGTAAAAAAATGTTCAATTGACGTTTTGCATCATTTTTCAAATCATTTGTATATTTTTCTGTGTGTAAGCTATGTGCTATACCGGAGCTAGAAAGATGTATCTCCTCACGATATATATGTACAAAAGTTGTTCTAAATAACAATCGGGTCAGCATTATATAATAATAGGATGATGATGATAATCAAGAGAAGAAAAAAAACATGATAAATGAATAATGTAGGGTCTATGTATTTTGTTCATGTATTTTCAACATCAGCTTAATCATCAAGGTCCAGTCGTAGTCTATCAAATACTATGTATTATCACGATAGAAAAACATGCGAAAAACATTGTTTGTATAGATTTTTGTATTAAATGAATGTGAATTGAATAAAAAAAACAGGGTGAGCCAAGAAAAAGAAATATGAATGTTTGGAATCAAAACAAAAATTTAATGATAAATTGTTGTAACATTTGAAAAAACCTAAAATCATTATCATTGGAAATGATAATGTTGGGTAAATGTTTGCTTCATCATATGAATGGATCAATCTAGAATAAATTAAATATTTTTTTTTTCAAATGAATAAAAGAAATGGAAAGGATTTTTTTTCAATTTAATCAAACCATCATCCATAGCCGTTCATATCAAATGATGCTGAATCAAGAATTTGGAAAAATTGTTTCGTCGTTTGAATTTTTTTTCTGTCCTGGTTATTAAGACAACTTGAGGGGGATGAAATATGTAAATTTTTTTAGCATTCATTTATTCCCTAAATATCACTGAACTCATTGAAATTTCTTGTTTTTTGAGTTGTTGTTGTTGTTGTAGTCGTTATGAATATAGAAAAAAAGCAAAGTTTTAATAAAAAAAACTCAATACCGGATAATAAAAAGAATAATGATGATGATGGTGGCAAATAAAGAGTGAGAGAAAGAAAGTTCCATAAAGTTTCCCAAAGAATAATGAAAAAAAACGATAGACCATAGAGTTTGTTGAACTTTTTTTCACCCCATCTTTCTCACAGTCTGCCATTGAATAAAATTCTGAATAATGTATTTTGGGGCCTTGCGCCGAATCATTCTACAATACCAATTTTGTTGTGTTCAAATAAAATCACATGCTTCAAACAAACAAATGATTATGTTAAGCAAAAGGAATTATTTTTAAATGGAATGAAAAAAAGCAAGCAGTGGTGATGAAGATGATGGACAACATTCTAAATTTATTTTGGATTAACGCTTTTGAATTTCGTTACTGTTGGAACTTTTTTTTCAAATTTTTATTTTGACAAA